AGAGGAGAGGAGAGGAGAGGAGAGGAGAGGAGAAGAGAAGAGAAGAGAAGAAAAGAGAAGAGAAGAGAAGAGAAGAGAAGAGAAGAGAAGAGAAGAGAGGGCACCCGCAGAAACGAAGCATACATTAATGAACCACGAGACAAGTCCGAAGAATTCGACTTACGCCGATGAGAAGATAAGTTCCTCCACGTTTTTCCCCTGCTGGACAGCAAGCTTGAAATCGTCATTGTTCGTGCTAGCCGTGCTCAATGCGTTCTGAATCCCTTGCTTCATATCCGATGGCAGGTTGTTTCTCACCATAATGCCAGGAACCCTTGCGGGGCCAAACCTGCTCATGCATCAAACCCAAAACGAACAGAACGGAATCAGCTCTAATTAAATTGCACCGCCGCATGCATTTCACTCTTATCATTACAAGTCAAAAGGCATAAATAAATCAAATTAAAAATTAAAAATTTACCATTGCTCGCAATTTTTGACTCTTATCATTACGACAAGTCAAGGAACGCAACAGGCAAACGGGCGTGTGCGATTCAACGCCGCAATTTGGGGCAAAGTGAAATTGAATAACAATGCTCCCAAACAAGAGAGAAAAGTCGTGCCTTTTAAGCATACCCACGCATCCTCTCTCTCTCTCTCTCTCCTCTGTTCTCACAAGGTACAACGAAAAAGAAGAGCACATGGGCTGAGTACTTTTATGTGCCATGGGTTGTGTTATGTGCCATGTATTATGTCCACACGACTGAATGTACATTCAATCCAGTCAGACGACCGTCAAAACATGAAAAGCCAGAAAGAAGACCGAATCAGAAGGGGAGGAGAGGATAGACCGAGAGGAAAGGAAGAAGAAGAAGAAGAAGAAGAACAAGAAGAAAACTGCTAACCACGAGATAAAAAAAAAAAAAAAAAAAAACACAAAACCCGAATGCAACTTGCATGGAGTAGACGAAACAAACAGGTTGGGTACTATGAAAAGTGCAGTTTCTGTTTTTATGCCCCCCCCCAAAAACTGCGTCCACCAGAAACCTGAGGCCAAGACAAGTGCCGTTTCAGTTTTTTTAAGGCCAACAAGTTTCCCTTCAGGGAAAAATCTGTTTCCATCCAGCGGCCTACCGTCTTCACCCGAATAGAACGCCCGGTCATTATAGCCGTATCTGGTGCAATTTTGAGTCCAGGTACGGCTATAATGACCGGGCAGAACTATTCGGGTGAAGACGGTAGCTCTCAGTTGGTTGGTAAGGCACGCAACTCGCATTCAGGAGGTCCCACCTACCGGACTTCCCCCGAACATAACGCACCCTAAAAGTGAATGTATACAAGCTATATTTCCAGCCAGATACAGCCACAATAAGGGTGCATTGTGTTCGGGGGAAGACGGTAGGGGGATAGCGCGTTGGTCCCCCCGCGTGGCATTCAGCAGCGACTGCTGATATTCGAAGGGCGAGGGGACCGGAGGGGAGGCGCAGCGACTGGCCCATGGAAGAAGCTCAGTCCTCATGCTACCGGCTGACCCCTGGCCGGTGTCACCCATCTGGAGGGTGGGTGCAGCAGCCCCAGCATGTTCCCTCGTTGGAGGCTTCAACTCAGACTGGCTGGCTGCTACAACGTTCCCCGTAATGCTATAATGATAATGATAAATAAAAACGGCCTGAAAGGCTGCCCTGTCCAGATTGGACAGGT